ATGTATTTTACGCTATGAAACATTCAATTTAATTCCGCAGCAAAGAATATTTATTTTTTTCTGCTTCTTACTTATGCAAAATACCTAAATTTCGGCGGCAGCATTTACAAGAAGTATTTTTAATTGTTCTTGAAAGGTTATATAAATTTGTAATTAATTACTATTTAAATAAATATAAATAAGTAATTTTGAATAATAAAAATATGAAATTAAGCTTAAAACACTGTATCATCTGAACCTGGGGCGGGTATGAAAATTTCCTTTTTAAAATCTTCACATTTGATAACTGATACATTATCATACAGAACTTCAGTGCAACGCATTTCACCACAGTTTCCATTGTTAATATAGCAATCTTTAGAGCATGAATTGTATATATGTATTGATTATTTAATATTAATGTAACTAAAAATTGCTTTAGAATTTTATGAGTAACAAGTAACAACGTATGAACATTGCTAGAGTTTGATATAATGTAAAGGATTCATACAGTCTTTATGCTTCTCTGCTCATTTTTGTGACTTTTATTTGTATCTGTTATTCGACGATTAAATGCTTCAAAATGTTCATGCCAATTTATATTTTAGTTCTATTTATGTGTGCAGACGAACGTGTATGTGAAAATTTGATTTTTTTTAATAAAATAAATTATTGATATTTATTTTTTGCTCATCCACTCGTTAAATATAAAAAACGCACCAGCGCTATAAACTTCCACTTCCATACTTGCTACGTCACCAAGATGGAAATTTTCATCTGATTGTTGAATGATCACAAACCTTGATATCAGAGTGAAATTCACGCAAACAACTTCCATCGGTTTCCACGGACCATATACTGTCGCACCCCACCTCCCACAATGTTTAACCTTTTTTCTTATATCATAATCAGCTGATGTATCAAACGTTTCATTCAGTCTAACAACAAAATTGGTTATGCTAGAACTAGCTGTACGGTAATAAATCAAGCTTTTAAAAACTATTGAAATTGATTTAAACCACTTAAACATTCATTATTTGTTACATGAAAAAATTAGAAGTACAATAAATAAATAACATTTCAAAAATTCCGCATAACAATTAAGAAACATTTTATTGATAAATCTAGTTTCTCGCAATGAATATCATCAACTTCACCAACAAATATAGTCGCTTAGTCTAGTGTAGAGAACAACCAATCCAACGCAATAAACATTTTGGAGATCAACAGCCATCCAGTTCGATATGTTATCATGAACTTCGGCAAAATACCACTCATTATAAATGCCATCCGTTAAATATTTGGCTTCATGTTTTTCATGTACCGAACTCAAATACGGAGGTTTGTGCAAAGCTAAATTTTTTCTGGGCACTAAAAATAATTACTTGATTCAAACGCTGAAATGGTAAATATAATAGCTCACCTTGGCAATCATCATAATTGTTTCTAACTGTGCCGGTAGGGCAAACACATTCTGTGTATTTCTTATTGTTTACAAAAGATTCAATGCATTTCTTATCTTTACCACAAGCTCCGTTCTTCTTTGAACAATCTAATATAACGATTTTAGCGCGTCAAAATAAAGATGAAAAACGAAAGAACACTTTCTTTACCTCTATCTTGGCAAGTCTCTCCTTTCCATTCGATATCACATTTTACACATTTCACAATTTTATAATTCGCGCCAATACAACGTGACATTCGAGACCTTCCTCTTTGAAAATCGCTTGTAAAACGCGCTTGAATAAAAATAAATTAATCAATTAATAATAGACATCGTTCGGTTCAGTGCGTCAAGAAGTTTCAACGTTCAGCCGGTTTTAGCCGGATTTACAAACACAAGTTCGGTCGCAGTCAAAGCTAGATTTGTGCACTGATACATTTGCTGCCATAACTTGTGACTATTGCATCTCTATCTCGCCTTATTTTATAAATTATAGTTTTTAAATATTGTTATATATTATAGTTTGTATATATTGTTTCCGCATGATTCATTATATACTTCGCTGCCATTTTGTCGTAAATGTATAACGTATGTATAACGCTATGTCTAAGTTTTCGTTATCGGAAGCCAGCAAAATGGTAGCAGATAAAGTGATTTAAAAAATTTAGAGAAGGATTCATTTCAATTTCTTGTGAATGACGTCAGTCCCTCAATGCTTTTATTACTTGGAGTTTGTCTAGTAATACAGAGAAAATAGCAAGAGGACATTTTCTAATAAATTTAGGTAAAGAAATTGCACCAGAAAAGTCAATAACTGATGCTTCTATGCCATCCCTGCATCCACCTAATAAAAGAAATGTTATTCGTGTGAAGGGAAGACGAAATACAGAAAAAAAAACATGGGCAATATGTAAAAGAATGTCTGTTGTCTACAACTCGTGATAATTGTCATCAATATTTGTAAATTATGTAAAAAAATCAAGTTGTTTCTTAAATTTGAAAACTTAACAGTTTAATCTTTTTTGTACAGTTATGTTGGTCATAAGAAATGAATGTAAATATTTCTGGGTGAGTTTTTTCAACGTAAAACTAAAAGGGATCAAAAGGGACCTCAATGGTGATTAATTAGTGTCATAAAAAATGCTGGAACTTCTAGAATTTAAATCTTGTGCCACATAAATTTTATTATCTAAATCCCGCGACATACACACGCATGGCAAATGACATTCTTTGGTTAGGACAGATAGTATTGTTCTTTAGTAATAGTGCACTTGAAAATATAAATTTCAGTTAGGGAATGCAAATAGATATTTTCCCAGAGCACATTTTATGGTCCCTACTCCGTATTGCACACCTTAAACTTTATATGAACAAAAATTCTGCATTGAAAAATTACAAAATATTTATTAGAAATGATTTAATTTTTAAAATATTAAAGATGAAAAAAATGTGAAAAATTTGTGATATTGAAAAATTTTTAATTCTAAGAATTCTAAATGATACTTTACTTATTAGCATCGATAACGCCTCCGGGTAAATATTGTATCTAATATCACCTACACACTGACATTCACCTTTCGGATTACTCTACAATGAAAAAAAAAAATTTTGTTGAACCAGTTGTTTAACAACTTTACAAGAGCAACTTTACCCAAAAAAGTGGATAGTTTAGTTCCATACACAAAAATATACACTTTTGATAGGCATCAAAAGTGTATATTGGCCGAGGCATTTTGATTGCTTCGGCATACCGGTCTAAAAAAAATAAAGGTAACATTTTAAATTTAAAAAATATGAAAAAATATTCTTGCCAATAAAAAAATCTAAACCATCATAAATGGAGTAGTATATTTTTCCGCCGCACGCATCATTGTTGGAGCATGAAGTGTTACAGTAAGAGGAAGGAACAGCTAATCCTAATCTGTCGTTACAGTTGCATTCTTTGCCACCCTTACATTATTTTATTTAGTGAGTTCGAAATGTAATACATATAATTTAGAAAAAATGTTTAAATATAATTAAACAATGAGTAAAACAACACAACTAATACGAATTTTAACGACAACGTGAAAGGCATAAAAAAACTGCACCAAAACATAAAGAATCATTGCAATTGAGACTCGTTCATTTTGAAATAGAGCGGTTCTTATCACGGTGTCGAATTTAAAATACCCGACTCCAGCTCCAAATGAATTATACATTTTGAATAAAATTTCTTTAGAACACAAATAATGAATAATTAAACAGAAAAAATTAATAAATTTTTCATTTTATTTAAAGTTAAATTTGCGAGTTTAAAAAAAATTTATTTAAAGTTTGGATTCTAAATCAGTTTATCTTTTCAATGAACAAATTTTGTCCAAACTCCGAAAGCCAGAGATCGAATTTGATTTAAAATAGATAGAGCTTTGTTTTTTTAATTTGTTTACTTGCCAATAGGAAAAAATTTATGAAAGTTGATACAGAAAATAACTTTTGTGAACATAACATAACATCTCTTACTTTTAAAGAAATGTATCTGGTGGTTTCTTCTTTACAAAATGAAGAACACTCTGAAATGGAGCCAACGTCTTTTGTCTTAACTGCTTCAATAAACTGGTAGCAACCAACATAGTCCGCTAAAGGATTTTTCAAGTAATACAATTGCATCATTTTAAATTATTATCAGCTAACACTTTGAATGTTTAAAGGAATTATAGACAAATATTTGGAAACAGTAATTCTTAGATAAAAATTAAAATTGAAGTTATTCCATCAATATAAGACTGACTGATCGAAAAAATGACAACACTAGACCAAGAAATTGACTAACCACTAAAAGTTATGTTAGCCAATCGGCGCAAAGTTATGAATGATTTTCTAACAAAGCAATAATAGTATAAAGCAAAGTTGTTGGAAAACAATTTATGCTGGGCAAAAAAATTTCAGAAATTGTTATCAAACATATCCGAGAAATGTTCTAAGTTAGTTTTGATATAAGATTTTTAACGAACATGAGTTGAAACAAATAATGACTTTGAGAATGTACGCAAAAAAAGATAAAATCGGATAATAAATCGAAAAAAGTTTTACGAGACATCATTGTATACAAACACACTATAGGAGTCTATAATGTAACAAACTTGATAAAAGATTCATCTTCTTTGGTTTTGGTATAGACGACGTAACGGGCAATGTGCCTAGCCATTTTCAAATAGATAATTCAAATCATTAAGATATTAGCATAGTTGAAGACTAATTGACATTTGACAATGATTATGAATCTAGTATGCACATGCACAACAAAGTTAAATTAGCCTGTTAAAAGACAGATATTAAATTTTAAAATTTCATTCAATCCTGTTTTGAAACTTTCATTAGCGCATCAATGAGGGGGAAGGGAGGCCATGGCTGCCCCTTTTTGAGCAACGTTGTTCCCCGTTTTGAGCAACGTTGTTAGTAAGCTGGTAGTTTGTTACTATACTCATATAGTACTTAATCTCCTAAACCTGAAAACGTTTGATTCGGTTATAGAAATTCCGACGTCTTAGTTATATAGTATCTTGAATCAACCGGAGAGTTATTATTATGAACAACGTACCATAGATCGAAAAGTAACAATTGCTTGCATTCAAATAGTGGTCGTGCCTAGTCATTTTCAAATAGATAATTCAAATCATTAAGATATTAGCATAGTTGAAGACTAATTGACATTTGATAATGATTTTGAATCGAGTATACACATGCACAATATAGTTAAATTAGCCTGTTAAAAGACAGGTATCANATTTTAAAATTTCATTCAATCCTGTTTTGAAACATTCATTAGACAAAAATTAAAATGCTTCAACAAAACATTCACCTCTGCAAAAAGTTCAGTTTTTATGACTAATTCAAAACTTATATGTGTAAGATATGAAATAATTATATTTTTGAAAAAATATTAATTAGACTAGATAATACTAAAGTTACCAAACTCTACCTTCTGAGGCTGCTAAAAATAATTAAATTTCGAATTAAGAAAAATAATTAGTTAATGAATAAATCAAGGTGATGACAACACACCAACACATGAAAATAACGGTAGAAGCAAATATTGCTTATTGCTTGACTGAAAATGTCTGCCTTACACTAAAGGGAAACTAAAAGGAGAAAAGGAAAAGGAAAAGAGTTGGGAAATGAAAAAGGTGCTAAAACATGCTTGGAACACATTATCCATTATATAATACATTATCAAACCGTCTATGTAGCATTTATGCAATTTATACAATTGATAACGTGCGAAATTAAAAGCAATCTCATCTCATTGCTCTAAATTTAGGAGATATGATTTTATTATAGGAGAAGTTGGTAAAATGTTTCAAGAGGTACCGACAAAGAAATAAATAGCCTTACTACAATATATGTCGTAATGCTTCCAGGTAGTAACTGGCAAATGATTAAAAGGGACTGTTAATCAGGTTGGAGCTTTGTTAACAAAGCTTTCTGAATTTAAATTTATTTATTTTTGAAAACTTTGTAACAAGTCTGAGAACGTTTTTAGTTCGTCGGGTTATTTTTCATTTCTCACATTTCTCACTAACTGGAACTTTTACAAAACAATTTTTTATTAATTAATAGGTAAATTAGTGAATATTTTATTTTGTCATCACAAAAATTGATTATAATATTGAATTCCCAAACATTGATTATTGTATTTTTTATGAAAAATCCAATAAATCCATGAAAATAAATCAGCATTCGACAAATTAAATTATATCGCTATCATCAAACATCAAATGTAAATTAATTGATCTTATAATAATAATGATGAAAGAGCAAATACCCTGCGCGGAGAATAAAGGAAGGCAAGCAATCCACAAATAAATGGACATCATCATCATCGTAGTTAAATCAAGCAGTTCAAGTACAATTGATGCGTAGCCTAAAAACAACAAAAAAATGGTCATGGAATGTTTAAATCAACTAATCTATAAAATTAAATTAAATAAAAAAATGATGTATATTTAAGTATATAAAAAATCAGATTGATAAACAGATTGAAGTAGAGAAATTTATGAATGATATCCTTGATCATGAACACAATCAACTCAGCAATTTCTATACTTCTACAAGCTGAATCTAAAAAACAAGTGGCTGTTTTTCTAGCAAGCTAATAAATGAAGAAATGACTTCATTTTAACCGTGAGAGAAATATTAAATATAAAAAAATAGAAATAGAAATATTGTTGGAGAACTTTTATGGTGCCTTGTAATAGGCCCACCACTCAAAGACGCT